TTACCGGGAATTATCGTAGACGAAAATGCATCGAGTCCTTTTTATCGCGCGCCGCGCGCATTGTAGCCCTGTCGAGCGGAATCAAAGTCTAAGGGGCTCTTTGCGATTTATCGTTAGCCGCGCGCACCGCGCCGCCTTCCCGCGAGATTCAATACGAACGGGAGCCGCGCCGAGCTTGCGACAGGATGTTCTGGACGAAACTCAATCCAAGTCATAAACTCAAAATGGTGATGGAGCTTCAATAATTGCAACAAATAGAGCCCGAGGTGCGAACAATGCGAACTTTTAGGGGAAGCCATCAGTCGGCAGTTGTCGATCCGCACCTTAGCAGGAATACATCGATGAATCCACTATCTCTCTCTCTCTCTCTCTCTATGTCTCTCCAGCCCGTGGCCCCTTTGCCTCCCCCTCCCACTCTCTCGATCTGTCGCTCTCGGTGTGGCGGCGGCGAACTACCAGCGAATTCAATTCCATTCATTAGTAGCTTCGCTAACTTTGAGGACACAGTTGCTGCAATCTCGGAAAACTCCCTAGTAGTTGTTAACTCGCACTCGTACAATTGGCCTGACACTTAACGTCTCGCCTACTTTTTATTTTCAGACTGCAAATTGAAATGCAAATTGGACGGGCTTTCGTGCCGTTTGGATTTCTGCAAGCACAGCCAAGCTAATAAGGACCTATATATATCGACCCCCCAAGTGCTGCATTTAAAGGAGCGGGCTTTGCGTGCATTCGATACTATATAAAATTTGACTCCACTCCCGAACGAAAATTGAGAGACTGAACTCCAGTCGAATGAAGTTGCACGAGGCGCTATGAAAGTTTCGCCGATGCACACTTTGAACGAATCACATTCTAACTCCATCCCTCTGTCAGCCGTGCTTTCTACCGATTCTGAAATTGCCCCTGCAAAGATACGAAAATTCGTTTCATTTATATTTGCAGAGTGGCTTTCAGAAAACTAACATCTACTTAATTGTAAGAAAAATCCCTACTGCTAATAAGACATTTTAATCTTATTGTCTATAAAAAGGTTTGTTTTTCATATAATTTTAAATTTTAACGCCAAACACAGTACTTCACTTATTTAAGTAATAAATTTTTTTTTTAATTAATTTTATAACTTTCTTCTTGGGTATTAATTTCGACGTGCCTTAATTTCCATACGTGATTACTCTAGCATACTTTATTCACAAAAAAAGTGTTGTATTATGAAGTAACGGTATATGTTTGGATAATTACTGTTAAGTATGGTGGCTGCATAAAAATAATATTGCGCAATATACATTAATTCTGGAATTGTAACACCTGACACAAGGCAAATTACTCGTATATAGTTTATAACATATATATATTGATTTACCCTTTAGTTGAGAGTTACTATCATTCTGTCAAATTGCTGCATTAAATAAGCTTATATTATACATCCATTATACGTACTACAACCGCAGACCGTTTTGATATGTCGGAAGTTTAACATAAGCTTTTAAAAGTTTATTGAATACATAACAATATATATATGACATTTTCATGGGTGTAATAAAAATTCTTTGGGTAACAGCTATTAAATGTTTTTACAATCAATGAATAGTAGTTTTAACATTTGTAAAATATTAAAAATAAATATGTTTTGAACAAGTACCTACTGTATACCTGATACTTTTAAATTACCATAGACAAGTAAATTTTCACAAAACCAATGAAAATAACTTCGTTGTGCTTAGAAAAATGAGGAAAGCGTTGACATTGATAAAAGTCAACTGCATGTAACGCAAGTTAACTGTCAGTCAAAAGGAACAATGAGGTCGACATTGGTATCCTTGATATCGAAAAAAAATCTTAATGCTAAGTATATAAAATAAAATATTTTAAAAAACATTTACTAACAATTGAATAATTCTACTAATTTAAAAAAAAAGTGATTGTATATTCAACTTTATCCCAATAAAGATTAATAATAATAAAATTAGGTTAATCAATGAATAATTTAGTTTATTTTCAATGGGATTATAGATTGAAACTAGTTTCAACCTCTAAATAAATTACTGAAGCTAAATTTGCTTCTACGTCGCTCGTCAAAAAGAAAGACCTCGTATCGAGTACAAACATTCGCGCAGTGATCAAAGCAGCATCGGTCTTTAAGAGAGTACAAGTTCGATCTCTTAATTTACGCTTGGACGTAGTGAAACTCGATAACGATCGTAACTCGGCGCTCGTTCGTCTTGGCGGTTACAGCCGCGGTGGCAACTTCCCTTTCAGGAAATTGCAAATATCGTAATTTTACCTTTGGCTCGATGGTAGCGCCGATGTAGTTACAAAAGACAAATTTGTCCGGCCCGTTATAGCACGAGCGAGAAGACAGAAGCGAGGGAAAGATTGCTCTAACGATCTCTCCCCCCCCCCCATTCATCCCTCTCTAGCGCGAGCTTTCTCTGGCTATGTTGATTTTGGAACTTATCTGCATGCTTCGCTGGCGCGTATGAATATTTGCGCGCTGTTTAAATCGCCAGTCTATCATTTGCTCTCGACGCAGCCAGTATTCTAGGCTTTTATTATTTTGTACTGTTCACAAAGAAAAAAATGGCCATTATCGCCCATTCGAGTGAAGATTATTTATATCCCACGTAGTTTTGTGCGACCGACCATTAAATTTCAAATAGCTTTCAGCAGTGCAAAAATTACGTGGATCGTTATGTGTAAATTGAATCTATCTTATAACTAGTATCCGGATTATCTTTGTGATACTTTGTCCGCGGAAAATCGAAGAAAACAGTATTCAATTATTCGGAGGGTAAATTTGTTAGGTCGGTTGGAGAAACGCTTTCGTAATATTGCCATCGCCAAATTGCTGCCGTGAGTATTTGATATTCCGTTTGCTATCGAACTTACTTTAACAAGTCTCGTGGAAGCAAATAAAGCGAAAACCCTTTTGGCTCGCTATCATAAAATAGAAGCATTGGGTCTTGGAGATGACGAATGAACGGTAGCTGGTTGGGCTACTGGTCCCGCAGCGCACACAATGGCCGCGCGCGCCGAGCGTAAATGTTGGGAAAATACGCCGAGTCATGGCGAGCGCGCGAAATTCGCTGCCGTTGAATTTCATGCGCGATAGCCGAGATACAAAGAGCAGAGCACCGTCACGCCGTTATCAAGCCGCAGAAATCATGCGCGTCGACAAATCACGCCAAGAAGCTTCGCGCTCTAATGAATTCCGCAAAATCGAGTATAGCCGTCGGGCGGGAAATCTCCGGTCGGCCGTCTAATCAGCTGAAACGAGAGGAGAGACGAGAGCGAGCTGCGCGCGGCCGGGAACAATAAAAGGCCAAGATAAAAGAGCGAAGCAAGGTAACTCGTCAAAAATCCGTTAGGTCGCCTTTTCATTTCCTCCGGCGCGTAGATAAAACATCAAGCATGGCGCTAGTCGGCAAGGAAGTTTGAATGAAAAATGCAATGAAGAAATTCACCGGTGGGAGATAGATCGAAGTCCATTAATAGGTAATTCAGCGACGGCAGAGTGCGCGTTCCCTTCCAAGAGCGGAGCGCGGCGCGGGGCGCAGGCAGGGGGGCGAGCAGATCCTCTAATGAAGCGGAACTTCGTTAATCTTCAGGAGAAAGCTTTCAGGCTGATGAGCCGGCAAAACTAAATCTCAATCTATCTAGCGGCATTGATGTTTATTATGCCGAAAAACGACGGCACCTACACGTGTTCGCGCTCGCGCGCCAACTCGCCTAACTGCAGTTCTCCCGGAATTGCCCAAGTTCTTAATCTCAATTACAGCGCGGCGGGTAGCAGCAGCAGCAGCAGCAGCAGCAGCAGCGGCGGCGGCGGCAGTAGTTGCAGCTGCGGCGCTGCACCAGCCGCTGCGTTTGTTTCGCGCTGAGCAACCGCCGTGCCTTTCAAAGGGACACCTCGCAATTACCGCTGCCGCGAAATTAGACGCGCGTTTCCGCCTTTGACGGGCGTCATTTCGGGATCCACCGCCCGGCGTCGATGTAAGTCATTCGTGATTAAACTAGCGACAGGCCTGCTCAGCCCTTCCCGCCCAATTTTTCGTTGCAGACTCCCCGGCCGATTTTACCGCTTGTAGTCCCGAGTCGTCGCTGATCACGCCGTTTCCTTCACTTTGTTCGCCAACGAAGACTTGACGCGCGACGCAACAAGACGTATTCTCGGGACACTGGATACGTCACAGTTTCGAACGGGTGCTCTCAATGCGTGCACTCTGGAAACTGTTGGAAGACAGTTTTATGGATTCTTGGCGCTGTCATTCTCGGAACCCGGGGTTCACCGAATACGAGCACTAAAAGAATCAACCGAATGTGCGTATTTCTGTTTCCGCGTGCAGCTGGCATGCATACGATTTTTCTTTGTAATTTTCTTTAGCACGAGAGCACATAGCTACGACTACCTCTCCAAATATTGCAATTTCAGCGAATAAAAGTTGCGAAAGAGAATGGCATGTTCCGTCGAATCGAGACATGCCATCGCGAGCGAACGGCTAATGATGAATATGCTTCGCTCGTTTGCTAAAAACTGCGCGAGATTCTTCGGCGGATTAATGCAATGAAACACGCGTACGCGGTCGGCTAGCGGCTCGCTCGCGCGACGAGCCGCTAGCTGTCGGGGAGGAGCTCCGGTCGAAATCGGCGTTGGTAGGAGTCGTCAACAGGTCGTTCGGCTGGCACGGCGACAAATGGAAGCCGTGCGGGCCGCTGCGAGGGGTAGACCGAGCGCGGGCGAGCTGACAGCGTGAAAAAAGGGGGTCAGGGGTCGCATAAACAGCGACGTCCATTGAAGGCTCGGCAGCGATCCAGTGTGGCGAGAGGCCGCGAGAGCAGGGCAGGAGCCGGCTCCGCTGTCGCGGATCGATCCGCGCGGGCGCAGAGCGGAGGCCGCGCGCGGAGCCAAGCGATCGGCGGCGGCGGCGAGTCGAGCTTCGCTCGGGAGGCTGCGCTGCCGCGGCTCCTCGCTGCTCCTCGCGCCAGTCGTGCCAGCGCTGTCGCTCGGCTAGCTTCCGCCTCGCGCGCACCGCCTCGTAGCTGCGTCGATCTTCCTGCCCGCTGATCTCGCTGTGTTGTCACGTGCCCCTGTGTCTAGCTTCAGTGCAGTGCGATAGCCCCGGAGTCCCGTTCGTCGCGCTCGCTCGCAGCAGTCCTCGTTGTCGTTGCGGATCGAAGGTACGTCTGATGAACCCAGCGACAAGCTTGGGAGGAAAGCGCATCGAGTTTAAAGGACCGGGGCACTGCTTCAGTCGGAACTCACCGGCGTAGGAGAGTCCTGGACTAATTAAGCCGGCGAAACTTGCCAGATAGAGCTCTCGCCCCCCCCCCCCTATCTCGTGGAGCGCGGCTTACGCATATACTCGGCGCGCAATACACGCAGCAGCAGAGCGCGCGCCAGTTATAAAGCTGCGCGCTCTCGCGAGTTTTAATCTCCAGCAGGAAATACGGGACCGGCTGTTTCGCCCCACCCCTAGATTTGCATTTCTGCCGGGGATTCCGCTACTCGCCAAGATGTATTATGCTAATTTTTCACCTTTCCGCGCGAGAACGCTGTCCGCCCGAGTAGCCTCATGGTATCATGTGTATTCGCTCGAGAGGAGGGGGGTCATTGCTCTCACGCGGAACGCGAACAACCACTCGACTGCCATTCCAAACGCGTTTGCCAGCCCTTCGACTCCAAGATTTCGATAATTTTACACCTCGTCGCGTTCGTTTGCTTTCCATTTGCAGCTTCTTTTTAGTGAGTGCGGATTACAACTGAGATCTCGCCGCTCGGCGTCATTTAACTTTCAAATGAGAGAGCAAGCAATGGCACCTCCGAGAAAATATCACGGCGGATCGCGAATTCAGTTCGAGTACTGGCGTAAGCGACTCCGGCGGCACGAAACAATGTCTGGTCGAAAAGGAATACATGATGAATCCGACCCAACGGACGATATGAATGAAGCACGCGGCAAAAGGAAAAGCAAAAGGCCGAGAGCAATGGGGTAAAAGAGAGCCGTCGCAAACATACGTAGAAGCACCTTATTGCCATCTATTGCGCTGCTGGGCTGCTACAAAGGGGCCAACAAAAAGGCTCACTCCCTAGTTGGCAAAAAGACGACAGTCGGCGTCTCTGCATAAACGTACGGGCTTCGGACTTTCCGCCGGTCCGCCCCTCGCCCGCGTTCTCGCGCACACGTCTGACCAAAAACGCCTCGTACTACTACGCCTGCATGACGAATGCGTCTGCAAACGAGTTTGCAAACTCGCGACTGCCGGTGAAAAATCGGTTGGAAAACTGACCCCTTCCTCCTCCATTTCTCTGCTCGCTCGCCACAGCCGATCAACAGGGAGCTTCTCATTCGGCTTCAATGCACGCTGCCTTACAAAGTAGAAGGAGCCACCGCATTCTCGATAACTCGGCCGATTGAAAATTGCCTCTTCGACAAATCGATTGATATTGCACGAGGCACGAGCTTTTAGCGACGCGAGCGAATGTTGGCCTTAATCAAACGAGCCGAAAAGAAACACGAGTGTCGGAGTCGTTTTAAGCATGCACTCATGACAGACATCGTAATTGAATCTGCACACACGCGCCCGGAGAGCAGATACTCGAATGTATACGCCGAGGTATGCGCGCGCTCTCCAGAGAAATTCTTTCATCATATCTGGAGCAAGAAGAATAGCCGCGCCTTGATAAAAAGGCCCTCGAATCGTGGCACGCACTCTCTCTCTCTGTCTTCTTCTCTCCCTCCGATTTTTCCATTGTCTCGCTTTGTCAAAGCTTTGTGTCGTCAGGAGAGAGAGAGAGAGAGAGAGAGAGAGAGAGCGAGAGAGAGAGGGGAGGCTGCTGCTGCACACTTGGCCTCGCGACAAAAGGATTAAAAATTACACGTCCGTCTGAATGCGCATAATGCCACACGGCTTATCTTGGCGCAAGCACGCTCTTTTTTTTCTTTCTTTTTTTTGTCTCTTCCGTCTTTTTTTCGCGCCACTCCAGTCTTCTATTGTCTTTCGCCTTGGTGGCGAATACTTGAACTGCCGCTTTCGCGCCTCTTCCGATGAGACATACCAAGCTTGTTGTGCTACATAGAAGGTACTTGTTGATGCGATAATACATTCTGCGCGCGTGAGTCGAGTCGAGGAGAGTGTTTTATTTAACGCCATCAATTAGCGGGAGGTCGTGTTGTGCGATGTAAAGCGACATTTGATTTACAATAACGAGCAACCTTAAATGACCATTTGACGTTATTAGCACGACTAATTGACATATTTGTTTAATATTTATTTATTAAGACTTCAGGGCAATTGTACTCGTTGTATGCCATGTCGACTACGCATGTGATTGAAGTGTGCTGTTAATCGGAAGCTGCAATGTCAATACTGTTATACACACACATACGTATATATGCATATATATATATATGTATATTTAACAATTAACATCACCATAGTGGAACACGCGTGTATATCAAAACGGCAATTTCGTTGCGTAAATACTTAAGGTTCATTGCGTGCGAGTGTATAGAATGTCAGGCATCAGCCGACGCGAATTCCGAGAATTCTAGCACGTCGCCCTCCCGCGCGGCAAAAACTAGCAGTCGAATGCGCGCGCGACAAGAAACCTATCCTCCTCCTCGCGTATATCAAGCGAGCTCCGTATTCTCTCTCGCGCTACCAGAAAAAACAGAGAAGACGAGGGCGAGAGAGAGAGAGAGAGAGAGAGAGGGAGAGAGAGATAGAAGCAAGCTGGAGAAGATTAGAAAAACTTGCCGAGAGATCGATGGCGGCAAAAGTCTTCTTGCCCTAAATCTAGCGCAAAAATTAAATAAAATGCATTCGCTATTTTTGCGCGTGAGTATTAAATCTCGCTTGTCGATATACCGGAAATATCGAGCTTCGAATGAGAATGGTGCAGCACGTGGATGAACTATTGTGGAATGACCGGTCGCTTTTGTTTGGTGTCTCTCGCGGCTCTCTTTTTCTCCCTGTTCTTTCGCTGTACGCTCCTGCTGCTAGTTTTTTCAGCCGAGCTTCGATATCGATTTGGTGCGAGGGCCCGAATAGTGGCTTGTTTCTACACTCGTCGCTGAGGCTTACCGAAATTTCACGATATACTACACGAGGATAATGACTTTATTTTACGCGCTATCAAATTTTCATACGCCCGCACGTAATTGCCTTTTCGTGCGCTCTCCCATCATGCGAGCATAATAGTTATAACTCTCGGCCTTTCGTCGAGCCGAGCGAGCGTGCGTCGCGCGCGATTATTGGCCGACGATTCGGCTATTGTAGCGGAACATCGAACAAAGAGGAATAATTCGGACGCGCCTCTAAATAAAGAATGCAACAAATGCGTTTGCCAAGCACGCGTAGTGGTGGCTGAGCGTTGCAGCTCATAAATTAATGACATCGATCTCGCCGGGCGAGTAGTGCATCGCGACTGCGGACCGCGAAGCATCTCTCCGATATACGAGCGCGCCGCTCAAAGACTTGGAGAGCAGCGTCACACGGGCAAATGCGTATTGTGCAAATAAATTGAATGTCAAATGACGATTATGGGACAGCAATCGGGCTTTCGGCTGGCGATGGCCGGAGCGGCACAGGTTGCCGTCGAGGCCGACCGCAACAATGGGTCGCGCAAACCCGTGTTCCAGCTGTGCTGCAGCTACACGGCAAACGGCCATCGTTACATTATCGTTCTTTCTCTCTGCTCGTTCGCTCGACGCCGATAGAGCCATTGATTGCTCGCCAGGTCCGTCGATTTTTTCTTTTTTCCTTTCGTTAGTCGTCGCTGCGGCCAGCGCAGGCCAGTGCGCCAGGATACCCGACCAGGTGCATGCGTACGGGCGTGCGTGCCGCCTAACGAGCTCCCCTTCCCGTCGCTCGACTCCGGCCATTTTTCAAGTTCCACGGAGAGCGCGCATCAATCTGCCTCTCATACCTTATACACACGGCAATCTCGGGACCAGCTGCAGCTCCTTTTGTCGGCCGACGGGGTTCCGGCTGCCGAGGATTTATAGCCTCGGGCTGCGTAGTGCCGCGACCGACAGCTTTTTCCTGATTTTTCACCTGGAAAACTCGCGAATAATTAGCATAATGAATTACGCCGCTGCCGCATCGGCTTGACCTTGTTTCTCTCTCTCTCTCTCTCTCTCTCTCTTCCGCACGCTACGTCGATTTTTAAAGGATTAGCACGCCAGCGTGCTGCTGCCGTTTTTCTCTTTCTGTCCGCGGCTGTTGTTGCTCAAGAGGCTAACGCCGCTGCTGAATAGCTCGCTGACATTCAAATTCAGCTTGCGCGCCGACGATCTTCCTTGACGAAATTTTTTTTCTTCTCACCGAGTTATTCGAGTTTGTTTGCACGTGAAACGGAGCACAAAGTTTGTTAACCCACTTTTTTTAGAGAAGAGTGAGAGAGAGAGAGAGAGAGAAAGAGAGAGAGAGAGAGAGAGAGAAGAGAAGAGAAGAGAGTTTACGAGTGGATTGTTCCATTCGCCTTGACTAAAAATATAAAATAACTATGGTTACGAGCTGCAACGGCGCTGGAGTGGAAAAGCTGGTAAATAAACGTTTTCATTACGAAATCGTCATTGCGATGAAGACTCCAACAGTAGCAGCACGAGTCATAATGCACGAATAGACGCACACGCAACTTGAATCGCGCTCGAATATCCGGCGAGCTTTTCCGACGAATAAAGGAAAGGTAAAAGGCGCGCGACAAATTCAGGATTCCGCGGGCAACGCAGCGGCGTCGTGACGTGAAATTTGCGTCGGGCGACGGATAGACAGCGGCACGTCGTAGGCGATCAGCTTGACGAAAAAGAAGATGCGAAGCGACACCGGCAACCAGATTACCGCGCGGTGCCGCTTCGAAAATATTGTTTGCATCTTAATCGCGACGGCAGGCGGCGCATCAACCGTCCTTTTCCCCTGGCGCGTACTCGGTCGCGCTCTCGCGAGCTACAGCTCCGCTCGGCAAGAAGGAGAACGGAAGAATCGCCTGGTGGCCGTGCGCCTCGGCGGGGCGGATCGATTCGCGTGTATTGATTTTGGCGTGCTTAGGCGACGTTTGTTCGCCCGGTCGAATCGCGAGGCTCGTCAAACTTTCTGCTCGATTAAACTAATATGCCGGCTGTTGTCGCAGAGTCGAAATATCCGCGCGTCGACTCCGGCGCTATGGGGAAAACGTT